ACAACGGATGTAATGGTAGATGGTGGTAAGTGATACGGGAAAATGAAGCCCAGCAGTGGGCTGCAGAGCGATGGATGGAGGCATCACGTCAGACCATGTGGTCAAGGAAGACCCCTCAGATGACGGGCACTTGAGCAGAGACCCGTGTGTGGACAGGAGCCAGCTACAGGATTGCGGGGAAAGGGACACGCATCCCCAGGAGATGGAAAGATGGTGTGAAGGTCCCAAGGGCAAGATGAGCCTGGAGTGTCTGAGGAACATAAAGAGGGGACAGTGATCTTAGATAAGATTAGGAGGTGGGGACAGGTGGTAGGTCACACAGGGCCTCCTGGGCCAGGGTTTCATTCCAAGGGCCCTGGGAAACCAAGGAGAAGCACAGGTTGGCTGTGGATTAAAAAGATCAGTGGTGGCTGCGCAGAGGATGCACTGCAGGATTTGAGAGCAGAAGGCAGGACCACACAGGAGGCGGCTGCGGAAGTTCCAGGGAGAGACAGGGTGGTCTGGATTAGAATGGTGGAGACGGAGGTGTCGAGAAGGGGCTGGGACCAGGTTGTATTTTGGAAGTCAAGCTGATCGGACTGGATGGTGGACTGAGGTGGGGTGCAAAGCACAGAGAGGAAGGACAGCTGACCCTATGCCTTCCCATCCCGTGCCCTGCCAGCCTTCCTGGCCGCCCGAGACCCTGGGCCCAGCTGCCCCCTCTGCCCGTGCACCTTCCTCACCCTCTACCTCCCAGTCTGAACATCCCAGAGCCCTGCTCCCCCCTCACCTCCTCTCCCATCTTCTCAGCTTCTGTTCTGACCAACTCCAAGAAGGAGAGGGAGAAGGAACAAACAAAAAAGGACACGGCTAGATTCCACAGGCAGCTGCCCTCACCCAGTGTGAATGTGTCTGGGATGTAAATCCGTTGTCTCTCTGGATAACAGGAAACAATTACTCATGCAGATGAAAAACTGTTATTCCTCTCCTTGACAGCTAACATCTCAAGGAGCCTTTACTATGTCAGTCCTCCGTTGAGATAGAAGCTAATATTTTCCATCTGTGGTCTCTGGGATAATATAAGGCAGCTCCTGGTTTAATAATGAGCTTCCAATTTTTGGCAGAGCCACAGAGTTACAAGGCAGGGGGAGGAAGGCGGCAAAGAACAGTGAAAGAGATTCCAGGAGAGCGCACCTGAATTGTGGGAGAAAGTTATTTCAAAATCAGGGAAGTCAGACACGGTATTGGCCTAGTTCCTGAGATGACATGGGGCTCCCAGGAGAGATCAACCACATCAGAAGATGGTCCCTGGGCAGGGAACAGGGACCACAACTGGAAATCAGGGTCCTGGGTTCCAAGCCAGGGCTTGTTATTTCATTTACTCATTTGCTCATTCAGCATGTTCACTGAGCATTCATGGTGTGCCAGGCCATGTAGGTTCTGCATTAGGCACTGACAGGGTGGAGAGAGGGAGGATTAACAAGTGAACAAAAAAATTACAATGCAGGGCAATAGATGTTAGAAGAAACCAGCACAGATCTGGGTGCTGCTGGCAAGAGCCCACAGGAAGTAACATCTAAGCAGAGGGCTTAGGACAATGTGGGCAAAGGTGGAGGGGGTGGAATTCCAGGTAGAAGGAACAGCATGTGCAAAGGCAGAATGGCAAGAGATGCTTGGCAGACTTGGAGCTGCTGGGAGCTCAGTGTAGCTGAAGTACGGATTATAGTGTGTGTTAGGCAATTTCCACAATGGCTCCCAGTTTTTCCCACTTCCTGGAGTTCATACCGTTGCAGAGTTCCCTCCCCTTGAATGTGGGTATGACCTGTGACTTGTTTCTAACCCACAGAATACAGGACAAAGGTGACACAATGTATAGGATGTACATGCTTAAGGGATTATATTGCATAAGATGACAGTGCCCATCTTGCTGGAGCCTCTTACTTCTTTGCTGGCTTTGAGGAAGCAAGGAGCCAGTTGGGAAACCCCACATGGCCAGGAATGTGGGCAGCCTCTAGGAGCTGAGAGTGGGCTCCAACCAGCATCCACAGAAAATGAGGTACACCCCTCCCTGCTTTCACGATGTCCGTTCTAGCAGGGAAGACAATAAACACAGGACAACCAATGTAATTCTAGATGGTGTTAAGTGTTACAGGAAAATGAAGTCCAGCAATGGGCTGGAGAGTGATGGATGGAGGTGTCATGTCAGGCCACATGGTCAAGGAAGACACCTCAGAGGAGGGGCACTTGAGCAGAGACCTGTGGGAAGACAAGGAGCCGGCTATGGGATGGGGCAGTGAGGGGGTCAGTGTAGGGAAAATACAGGAAAATGGTCAGGGCCCCTCAGATGTTCAGAATCTTGCCCAGCATTTGATGTAAATATGCACGTGCGCTCAGGTGTTCCTTGGTTATTGTCTAATGTAATTGTGCATGTGTGCCCAGGTGTTCTTTGGTTGTCTGACTTGAACCCAAGTGTCCTGGGTTATCGGACTTGAGTATAAAGGACGAATGGCTCTGATCCATAGTGCCCCCCACCCCAGAGATGCCCCCAGGGGGGCCACGGGGAAGCTGCTACTGCTGGAGGCTGTTGCTATAAGCTGCTGTTGCTGCCAGGGCCCCCGGGACCTTCTGGGAGGCCACCGCCACTGCTGCTGGAGGCTGCCATAAGCTGCTGCTGCTGCTGAGGACTGAGCTCATGTCATCTGCCAATGGCTCCTGGGATCTTTCCCAATTACCTAGCTTATGGACCTGTGTGTGAGGGGTCTGGTGCCCAGCCAGGCATGTGAGGGGTCTGGTGACCCAGCCAGGCATATGAGGAGATCTGTGACCCAGTCTGTACAATGGGTTTGAAGGGTCTGTGGGCCCTAGCCCTAGCAATACAATTGGCTACATCGGCAGGATTCTGACAATTGCCCTAGCAATACAGGCACACATTCCCAGGAGATGGAAAGATGGTGTGAAGGTACCAAGCACAAGAAAATGAATCCTTCAAACAATCATGTAGGCTTGGAAGCAGAGCCTTCTCCAGTTGAGCATTCAGATGAGACTGCAGCCCAGCATGTACTGTGATTTCAACTTTGTGACACGCTAAGCAGAGGTCCATGCCCGGACTTCTGACCCACAGAAACCAGGAGGTAATAGATGCATGTTGTTTTAAGTTGCTAAGATTATGGTTGCTTTTTTCATAGCAATTGATAACTAAAAGACAGAAGGAGAATGGTGAGAAAGAGGGTCATACTGTGGATAGCCTTGCAAGCTACAGAAAGAAGTTTGGACTGACAAGCTCACTGACCTTATATGAGTCAGTTATCCTTGTAGGACCTTGGTAAATTGGGCTAGATAATCTCAAATAAAGCATGGACTTCACCAGCTAAAGCTCAGTGAGCCTGCTATGAACTGGACACGGTTCCAGAGCAGACTGGAAAGGTTTACTTTATACCCACTTTAGAAGGAAAGTGGTAACCCCAGGAGCCAGGAGGGGATTCCTGGGGACATGTCCCACCAGCTCACCTGGCCTAATCTCATTTCCTTCCTGAAGGGCAAAGATTTGGATCAGGCTGTGCCAGTGGAAGGAGAACCTTGCTTGAAACTGGGGACGACAAACTACAGCAGGTGTTTTCTCTCCACTTCACAATTTAAGTCTAAAAGTGACAAAGAATGCAGATTATACATTCACATTTCCCCCCACCAAAGGACAACCACAAATCCACCATTATGTAACCTCTTATGACTTATTTCACACAAACAAAGCTAGCTTTTATGTTTCTAGAGTCCATAATCACCATAATGGTGTGATTTGAGAAGCCTCCAGGGAAAGGACTCTTTCCCCAAAATCGTCTTCTCCCACTTACTATCTCCCTATTAAGGCTTCATTCTTTGGGGTCTTGAACATTTGCGACCCTCTGCAGCAGTGTTTCTTGGATGATAATTGACATTATAATGGTATTACCATCTGACCCCACAGGAAGCAGGTAACACCTTTAGGACTTCTCAAACTTTACATGCCCACAAATGACCAGGAGGCTCACTAACACTGCAGACTCTTAAGGCACCACCATGCAGAGGTTCTAAATGCCCTGATTGGGGGTTGGGGTCCAGGAACATGCTGGTTTTTAAAGCATCACATGATTCTGACATGGGTAGTGCTTTGAGAACCTGCTGCCTTGATGTCAGCTCAAGGCAATGGTCAGTCAACATTCTTAAACTAAAAGCTTTGTAATCCAGTCCTATGGGTATCAGCTGATTCCACAGTTATCAACTAGTGCTTAGCTAGTTACCTGCTCATTAACACCACAATTCTCACCTCCCACAAGGAATGGCCAATAGCTGGCACACAGAAGCACAGACTGAAGGACAGGCCCAAAGAGGAAGGGGCAGCACAGAGGGGCTGGTTAGGAAGGCGGGTCTGCAGAGCCAGAGCAGCCCCCTCCTGGACCTCGCTTCCCGGCTGCATTCTCACGCTGCTTCCATGGCTCACCCAATCAGTTTACAGGTGACTCCATACACCTGTCTGCTTCTGCATTTCCAACCCCAGCAGGGTCTTCATCCGCACCTGGAGGAGGCTAGGGAGTGGTCACTGTCTTATCCAAGTCTGGCTGAGGGCAGCTACCAGAAGAGGCTGCTTAAAACACACCCATGGAAAGGAGCGAATTGAGTGAATCAGGGAATTCCTATCTTGTCAATGCTGGAGTGAAGAAGAGACAGCTCCATTCCATTGGGCCCATTCTGCAGATGGGGAACTGAGGCCTGCAGAGCATGTCCTCTGAGCCTTGTTTTTAAAGATAAGACACAGTGACATGTAGTCAAAGGACCCTGAACCAGAGGTGCAGAGATCTGAGCTTTAATTGTACCTCTGCCACAAATGCCCTGGGTGACTGCAGACAAGCCACTTACTCTCTAAGACTAGAGGAAAGTCAGAAATTGATGGTGAGTCATTCACTCTGCTGACATTTATGGAACTTCTGCTAAGTGCCAGGCCTGGGGATACAAACCAGTGAAGTACATGGGTTCCAAACTAGCCAGACCATGTAATGGAAGTCGGGTTTTTCTCTGCAGCCATGTGTCTATGTGGATATCGGGCACGTTTTCTCGCTTGCTGAGTCTTGTTCATGTACATGGAGATGAGGGATAAGAAGGCCTGTGATGAGAGCAGGTGTGCAGAGCGGTCCCCGGCCTGCAGAGGGATCTCAAGCAGCAGACGGCATTAGGCAATGGACTGCTGTAAAGAACCAGCAATGGGCACGAAATTCAGTAGAGGAAGGTCCACTCTGGAAACTACCTCTTGCAAGCCATCCACCTCTGGACACTTAGCAGGAGGGCTTAGTTGGGAACATTTGTGATCATGCTGCAGGACGTCATCTGTAATTCCCACGGTCTGCAAAATGGTAGATTTACACCCTTCTACATTTAATAACTTTATCCTAATCAAAACTATAGGGAAAAGCATGTATGATACCCTAGTAACTTTTTGAAATACAGAAAAATACATACCAATTATTGTAATTATCTGTAAGGAAAATGAAATAAAGTGGTCAAGCTCCCTCAGCTGTTTGGAATCTTGCTCAGCATGACATAGCCTGTTTAATGTAAACATGTTAATTGTGCACGTGTGCCAGGTGTTCTTTGGTTATCTGACTTAAGTATAAAGGACGAACAGCTCTGATCCACAGTGCCTATGGGATGCCCTGGGAGGCCACTAGGGTGGCTGCAGCTACTGGGGGCTGCTTCTAGTTACCTGAGCTCACATCTGAATAAAGTCTGTCAACTTTACACACTGCTCCCAGGATCTTTCTCCAGTTACCAAGCTCGCGACCTGCATATGAGAGGTCTGTGACCCAATCTGCACAATGGGTTTGAAGGGTCTGTGACCCAGCCTGACATCATCCGTCTTTACAGCAGTTATAGCCCATCAGAGAAAAATGTTGACTCATGAAAAAGCATTATAGATAGGATAGAATCATTAGCAGTAAGAGGTGGACTGTAAAACTTTCCAAATGAGTAGAGTTAGTAGTAAAGGTGACCTGGGCTCCAGAGGGATCTCTGGCCATAGAATGAAGCAGGAGGTGGCAGGTGAGCCCAGCCAGGAGAGAGGAGGAGGCTGGGCTTGTGGCTGGAACCGGCAGCCCTGAGCACAGTGAAGGTGCAGCATGATACCCAGCAGGGGCCTCTCCAAGTGGAGCCATGGCCCTCACCCCCTACCGTGCAGCCAGGGCAGCAGGCAAGCTCGGTGAGCAGAGGGGGCTTCAGAAAGGGGACTTTGGGCAAAGGACCCATGAGGTCCCCTTCATGCTTATGGGGTGGTCTGCAACTAATCTCTCTCCCCTCCCTACCCTCCAATCCCACCCCTGGTTTGCAGGGAGAGGAACCAGGAAGGGCCATGCCATGACACGACCTGGCAGCAAGAAGGCAGGCTCCCTGCGTGTCTGTGAGGTAGGGCCTGTGGCTCACAACAGTCAGTAGTGCAGTAGTGGAGCACTGGATCTGGAGCAAGGCAGACTCTGGTTCAAATCCTGCCTCTGCCACTTACTAATTAGCTGGCCTAGGACATCCTTCCTTACTTTTCTGGGCCTGTCTCCTCCTGTGAAACTGAAAAAGATGACCTGCCTTGTCCAACACCGCATCCCCCAGGGTTTACTGAGCACATTGTGAGTCAGGTGAGGATGCTGGTGCAAGGTCCGGTGAGATGCTGAGTATGGCTAACCATCATACACAGTGAGGCTTCCATTCGCCAGCTGCTCCAACATCTCATTTAATCTTCATGACATGCAGGGAGGGGCAGAACTGTTCCAGTGAACAGCTGAGGAAAGGAAGGCTCAGGAGGTGAAACAACCGCCCGAGGAGACTCGGCTTAGCACAGCAAAGCTGGGCATGGAAGAGCCTGTCAGAGCCCAGCCCAGCACTTCACTGGGAAGTTCTGGGCAAATGTTTGGGGTTGCCCATGGTCCCTGCTCCTCTTCCCAGGCTGCCCCGCACACAGGGCTGGGTGCACTGTGAGTGGCAGCGGCTGGTCATGGGAGTGACTGATGGAGGATGGGACAGCATGACAGAGCATTCCACCCCAAGTCAGGAGGCCGGCCCCTAAAGTGCAGTGGGACCTCAGCCAAGTCACTCCCCATCTAGGCCTGGGCATGAAAGAGATAACAGATAATAAAAGTCTTTGCAGAACTCGCAGAGCCCTGATCAAACATGAGTCGTCATTTGGATCAGAGAGAGCGAGTGTTGTGCTAGTGGAAGCAGAGCTGGGCTCGGATCCTGGGTGGCCACTCTCTAGCTGTGTGACTCTGGGTGAGCCACTTAACCTCTCTGAGCCTCAGCCCGGCTCCATTTCCTTGTCTGTACAATAAGGACAGTAGTAATGCCTCCGTTGCAGAGTTGCTCTGAGGTTAATAGAGGTAACACAGGCAAAGTGCCACAGCAAGGTGCCAGGCCCACACGGGTGTGCAATGAATTGTGCTGTGATGATAGGAGGAGGGGGCACAGCAGGGACCCCTGTTTCCCTGCATCCTGCTGGCTCCATGCATGGGAGGAAATGCCCAGTAAACCTGTAGGATCCAGTTGAATCTACCAACCCCAGATAAACACCCATATGCAGTGGTGACATTAACCCACTTGCAGTCGCAGTAAAAACGTGCTTTGCCCACAGCTCAAGACAGGAGTCCTGGTGGGTGTTTACTGAGCAGGGCAGGATCTACTTTCTTTCCCTCCAGATTTGAGCTGAGCCCTGGAAGGGAGGTCCAAACACCCAGCCTTTCCCCAGTTAGTGGTTGTTTTGGGAGATCACCTGCTGTGTCTGAAGGGGAGGGGACATAGTGGGGAGAAGGTCCACTGTAGTGGATTGAATTGTTCCCCCAAAACTCACTGAAGCTTGAATTGTTCCCCAAGTTTTATGTATGAGAAACTTGGCCCCCACTGTGACTGTTAAGAGGGTGGGAAATCCCATTATGGTAATTGAAAGGTGGAGCCTTGAAGAGGGGATTGGATTGTAGGACCATGCTGGAGTGAATGGATTAAAAATGGTGGTCAGGGGCGTGGTTCTGAGGGTTTTCAAAAGAGTGAATGAGGAGGTTATGCTCTCTGCTCTGCTCTCTCTGCTCCACCGTTTTCTACAGTGTGACGCCCTGCTGTCACTGTTGCTACCACCAGGGCTCTCACCAGATGCGTTCCCCGGACTTTGGACTTCCCAGCCTCAGAAACAGTAAGCAATAAATTTCATTTTCTTTATAAAACACGCAGTTCCGTGTATTTGGTTATAAGCAACAGAAACAGACTAATACATCCACCAGGGATCAGAAGACCCTGGTGAGCTCAGGCCTGTCACCTCTGAAGGCCTCACCTTTCCCATGTGTCCATCCAGGAGCCTCCTTTGTGTCACTATGGACTCCATCCTCTTGGTGGATTTGGAGTCAGACAAGACCTGGGTTCAAATCCTGATTGCCACTTAGGAATGATTTGACCTTGGGTAAATTCCCTCACCTCTGTGGGCTTTAGTCTCCTCCTCTGTGCAATGGGGTGATGCTGCTTCTTACCTGCTTGTTGTGAGGATAGAGTTAGATACTATGTAAATGCTTGGTAGGCACTTAAACATGTCTTATAAAATAAGGGATCCTTTCTTACCTTTTAGATTTTCAGTCTTTCACTCTTTACCTGGAACTTGACAGACCCCTTCTAACCCCATTCTGGCTTCGGCTGTGTGACCTGCTTCAGCCAAGGGGACATGATACAAGCAGAGGCCAAGCAGATGTGGCTCCCCTTGCCTCTCACAAGTGTGGGGTTGCTGTCTCTGGGACCCACACCATCACCACAGAAATGTGCTCCAGCTCACCTGTTGGAGAGATGTAAGAAGCAATGGAAGAGAGCCAGTGTGTCCTATCCAGACTATTCTAGACCAGCAATCCTCCAGCCAAGCTTCCAGCTAACTCCAGACACATGAGCAAGCCCAGCCAAGGTCAGCTGAGCCAGGCCCAGATTGACAGGAACACACAATAAATGGTTGTGACATTTTGGAGCAGCTTGTTATGCAGTGATAGCTCACTGATACAACCAAGAAGAAGCAGAGTAGTGTGTCTGGGAAATAAAGAGCAATCCAGCTTGAGAGGGACTTTTCATCTATGTAGGCAAGAAGCCTCACCAGAGCCAATAGTTTACAAGCCGGGTAGGTGTGAGGCTTGTGCTGTGGGGGTCGTGTTGCTGCCGCAAGAGAAGCCAGCCTGAGAACAGAGCTGTTACTTGGGGGAAGAAGAATGGAGGATGGTCTCCGGAGACCCCGCTTTCCCACCTGTGCCCTTCTCTGTGCTTGCACATGGCACAGGTATTTGATGCTCAGAGCTGTGGCAGCTGTTGTACAAAAGGGCAGAAAAAGTGTATATAGAGATGCCAGCTCAGTGCCCTGACCCAACAAATGAATGCTAGAAGCTTCTGTTCAGGGATAAAAATAAGCCCTTCCTATTTTGGATGCATTGGCCAGGTTTTCTGTTGCCTGCCACTGAGAGCACTCCTGCCAATGCACAGCGCTGCTTGGTCCCTGTGACTTCCTGATTTCTGCAAGACCACGCCAGACGCCACATGAGAGGTCTGTGCCTAGTTGGTGCACTTCCGAATTTGGTAAAAAGCTTGTTTGGCACTCAGCCCAAATGTGGGACAGTCATTCTGATTCAATTTCATTTTTACTCAACTGATTCTTTCTGAAAAGTTCTTGACCTGCTATGTCTTTTAAAATACTTGTCACCTCCCCTGAATAGCACAGCCTAAGTGCTACTAAAGCTCCAAATTGCTGTCCACTTAATATTCATAAGAAGTCTGAAAAGAAAATAAGGCGAAACAAACCACAAGATACAAAACCTGCCACCACTATCCTTTCGTCCTCAGCTCCACACGCACGCTCAGGACCTCCCATTTCTGATTTCACATGCGTAGCTGGAAAGAGAATGGACATAGAGCGTGAAAACATGCAGTCTGGGAAGCAGAAAGCACTGTCAGGAAACTTGGGTCATCGCTGCTCAGACACCCCCGGGCTGTGTGACCTTGGACCTGACAATCTCCACTCTGGGCTTTGCTTTCCTCCTCTGTAAATGGAATTCTCACTAAGCCCTCTTCCCACTCTGCTCTTCTGTGAGTCCAGTGAGGGTCTCTCTAAGTTCAGCCTCCATCTGCAGCTAGAGCTATGGCTGGGGAGTGTGGTGGGGCTTGAGGCGTTTCGAGAGACAGGCAGACCTGAATGTTATTTCCAACTCTGGTGCCTAAATGCTGAGTTAATGCTGAACAAATCCTTAGGGAATAATGATGCTGCTTTATCTTGATCATTAGAGGGAATGCATACGAGATAGAAGCACATAGCAGATGCTCTGTAGATGGTAAATATTCTTATTTTTATTGTCGTCTTTCTTGCTACATGACTATAATGGAAGTCAGATGGGCATTTGCCCAGAGGTTGGGTGCATAGTGCCCAGGAGCACATGAGAATAGATAACTAGAATGGAAACTGAAAATGAGATGTCCCATATGCTATAACTAGTTCTTGGCTAGAAATTAAACAGACCTTGGTTGGGAGTGTCATTAGAAACCTGGAAAGGATAGGAGATAATTAGCAGAGGTGGCTGGAGATAAACTCCCTGAGCGAGCCCTCACAGCTTGTTAGACTGAAAAAGGAAGGCTGGCAGAGCTGTGAGCCTAACCTCTAAGTTGCAGGCACGTCTTCTGCATCTTGTCTGCATGGAGTTGAGTTTCTCAGTCTATTCACTGAGAAGGAAAAAGAATCGTCCAGTAATATTGAAGGGTTTGTTGAGATAGTCCCAAAGATCTTGAAACTAGGATGTTTGTGAAAGGAAGCTACATTTGTTAGCAAGTTTGTTGTAGAAAAACATGTTTGCTCAGTTGAAGTGGAAAGCCGTATTTGTCATAGGTGGTTGATCCCACCTAACATTCTTGGTGATAATTAACTCACCGTGACCTCCCACATGCAGTTCCAATCAACCTGTGAAATGGGAGCTTATAGATACTGGTAAAATTATGAACATGGCTAAAAGCATTTTTCTCCAAATAAAGTGATTTTAAACAAGTGTAGAATAACAATTTGTTTCAACCACAGTAATACCCACGAAAAGCAGCGAGCAGACAGCCTTCAAATCCAGCTGCCATGGCCATTGAGACTTTCGTAGGACTTGGGGACTGAGAGGAAGGATTCCTGAATGGAGTGGCAGAAGGTCTCAGCCCAGAAGCTTCTCCTTTCCCAAACTGAAACCACGGAAGACTGTGTCCTTGTGGTGGATTTGTGCTATGTCAAATTAGCTAAGCTGGAAATACATTTTCTAGAATTATCTTGACTGCATAGTTCTGGGTTAACATGAGCCCGAGACATAGCATGAGGTTTGCAAGGTGAAGCCACCACCACATTCCTCCTGTCCTCTGCAGCAGGTGAGTGCTGGGCTGGCAGAGCTGCTGCAGCTCAATCTAGTCGTTGCTCATCGGCTGGCTCCCCTCATGGGCGTGGAGCAGTTTGTCCTGTGCAGCCCGACCGACTCAATCAGTTCCCATGCATACTGTTGGCTTCCACACCAATCCTTCAGCTGCTGGCTAGTGTCCAGCTGGCTTTTAGACTTCAAATTCTGGAACCATAGTCACTGTCTTATTCATTTCCTGCACTGGTTGCTCTTGTCAATTACATATTCATTTAATTATATAACGAACATCGTGGCGCCCACTCATGAGGTGCAAACCCTGTTCTAGGGCCTGCAGGTAGAGGAAGACTAGGTGAGTCATGGCCTTGCCCTCATGCAGCTGCAGCCTAGCAGGGCATGCAGCGCGGGTACCGCCACTCCAGCAAGCAAACAATAGGTGTAGAGTGGAGAGGGGCCAAGGATGTACCCACCAGCCTCAGAATTCCACATTGGAACCCTGGGCCTGTATGGTCCACTGAGTGATGCCCCCAAAGCTATATCCAAGTCTCAGTCTCTAGAACATGTGAGTGTTACCTTATGTGGCAAAATGGGCTCTGCAGATGTGATGAAGTTACAGATCCTGAGATGGGGATGACCTGGATTATCCAGGTGAGCCCTAAATGTAATCACAAGTGTCCTTGTAGAAGGAGGCAGAGGGAGACCTGACTCCAGACAGGGAAAGGCGATGTGATGGAAGCACAGAGATTTGAGGATGCTTCTCTGCTGGCCTTGAAGATGGAGAAAGGGGCCATGAGCCCAGGGATACAGCTTTGGAATCTGGAGAAGGGCAGGAAATGGCTTCTCCCCTAGAGCATCAGGAGGGAACATGGCCCTGCTTTGGTTTTGGCCCAGTGAAATCCATTTTGGACTTCTAACTTCCAGTACTGTTGGAAAATTAATGTGTGTTGTTTGAAGGCACCCAGGTTACAGCAGCCTAGGAAACTAACATAGCTATTAGGATTCAGGATCTTTCCCACACCCAGGGCAAGGAGCTGCTTTAGTCTTGCACATTTGCCTTTGGGAAATCCAAGGGAAGAGTTTGGCAAAGGTGAGCTTTGAGGTGTGGAATGGTTAAGTGATTTGTTATACATCCACATTAGAGGATATTGTGTGTGCATTGAAAATGATGTCGCAAAGAGTTTTAATGATGCAGGGAAATGCTTAGGGTGTAATGTCAAATAAAAAGAACAGGGATTTTAAGATGTATATGTAGTATAAGCTCAAATGTGTTTAAAAGGGGGAGAACTAACGGTGGGTTAAAGAAAACAAAACATTGCAAAATGTGAATAGTGGCTATCTCTGGCTGGGGGACTCTGGCGATTGCTGTTTTCTTTATGCTTTTCTGTGGAGGGTGTCACTTAGGGCGCAGAGCTGTGTGACAGCAACTACCAAATGAGCGAGCTACAGCTGGACAATTCTGAGATGTCAGTGGATGAGGAGCTCCCAAGATCAAGCCAAGACCTCCCAGCTGCTCACAGGACCTCCAGGGCTGGACCAGGGGATGCAAGGAGCGGGTGGGAGCATGTTGGGAGAACTAGGAGGCAAATTGCAAATGGTAACCTGCTGTCTAGTTTCCTAAGTGCCTTGCTTGCATCTGCTGCAATGTTCTCCTTTTGCAGAAGGAAGGAAGGAATCCAGTTCCTCCCTCGCTTGTTCTCTAGAATCTCTAAATTATTTGGAGATACAGGTCTAGGCAAGCAGCAGGCTCATTTTAGAAAGTGCTAGTTCTTGCTGGGTGGGGCTTGGAGGCTGACTTCCTCCCTGTCTCCAGACTCTTCAGCTACTGCCCACAGGCTGGAAGGTGACTTACCTCCGAAAGAGCTGCCTCTGTTCTCCATGTAATTTAGACATGGAGAAGCCCAGGAAGGGAGGAAGACAGGGCAGTGCGGGTGGATCACTGGGTCCAACCAGTACCACCGCATATATAATAGGCAGCTCCCGGGGCCCAGAG